ACGGAAGCAAAAAATTATTGGGTTAGAATACAGGCATGGTTAGAGGAAATGTTGCACCAGCGTATAGAGTTAAAACCAGAGGCATTTTTATTGGGTATATTACCGGAAAAAATATAGCAAAGAAGATACATATTTGATTATTCATATAATAACAGCAGTGAGAATTGTATTTGCACAAAAGTGGAAGACAGAAAAAAATCCCATCAGAAGGAGAGATAATAAAGAAGATTTTAGTATGTGCAGAAATGAATAGGTTAACATTGAGAATAAAAGAGGAATCAGTGTATTTCAAGACATGGAGACGATTTTATGTATGGTTAGAAAAAAAATATGAATAAAAGATTATAGAGAAATAAATTAGATAAGGTATGAGTAAATGAGAGAAAAGACAAAAAAGAAATAGAAACCCAGAAGACACTTGTGTAAATGGAAAAGGGGAAGGGGGGGGGGAGAGAAAGAAAATGTTATTATATAAATGTACATTTATGATGATATGTGTAAATTTAGTACAATGAAAAAGTAATTGAAAAGAAAGTAAAAATTGGGATTGCTCTAATACCACCTTGGAAAATACTAAATTGAAAATGAATACAACCATAGAGAGAGAATGGAGAGGGATAGAAGAGAGAAGAGAGGAAGGAGAGAGAGGGAAAGAAGAAAGGGATAAGGAGAGGAAGAAAGAGAGGGGAAACAAGAATAGGAGAGAAGGTTAGAAGGGGGGAAGAAGGGAGGTGTGGGGAAAAGGAAGGGGAAGGAGAGAAGGAGAAGGAGAGGAGGAAAGAAGAAAATAGAAGAGTAGATGGAAGAAGTGAGGGAAAGGAAAGAGAGGAGAGGGAGAAGAAGGATTGTTGTAAAACAAGGGAGATGAACAACCCTGAATATAATTAAATTGTTTAGGATGAAGATTGTATTAGTATGAAAGTTAAAAGAAAATATGTATGTTAGATAAGAAATTGTACATTTAAATATGTTTATGAGAAAAAAAACTTTTTTTAAAAAAATGTACCCTTCAATACACTTAATATCCTTAATTAATGTTTTTGTGCTCTATATTAGAATCCTTGGGAGTGCAAAACAAAAGATTTAGTGTTATGATGGCTTTGCAGACAGCATGGGAAATTTTCTAACTGCCAAGAGGAATGTTTTGGAGGAGCTTTGGAGTATAATTTTTTAATGCTGATCTTCTGACTAGACAACAATAATCTAATCAAGTGATGATCAAATAAATTGTTTCTATTGTGGTGAGGTTTGTTGGGAAACCCAGGTAATTAATTTTATCTTGGGAGGGTGCGTATGTGTGTATATGTAAATGTGTTTGGGATGGATTGAAATTTAAATTATTTTAGAATGGAAGGGGTGGGTTTGGAATGGCTGGAATTAGGGAGCCGGGGGCAGGGAATGGAGTCCCCTCTGCTGAGTGTGCAAGCAGAAGCAAATGGGGGCTCAGATATGACCCCTGGTTCAGTATGAGTGGGGTGCCTTGCCTGCCCGGGAGGAGGGGGGCCGCTGAGGTGGGGAAGGGGATCTCCAGGGGGATGGAGAGCCGGAATATTGCGGTTATGACTGGGAGAGGTAGATATGGTGGGAGCCAAGGAGTAGGCCACTCTCAGGGAACTAGGACTCGCTGCCTCAAAGTGATTACTTGTTCCGGCCCCTCTGGTTTTGGTTCATTGGGTTCACTTCGTATATCTGGTGACTTGGCATGTCAGGGCCCTGGCCTCAGGCTGCTGTTGTTTAATGCCAGGTCTGTTGTTAACAAGGCTCCCCTCGTTCAGGACCTAATCCTAGAGGAGGAGGCTGACCTGGCATGTATAACTGAGACCTGGATGGGCCAGGAGGGGGGGTGTTCCCCTCTCAGAGATGTGCCCAGATGGGTTTCAGATATTGCATCAGCCGCGACTCCAGGGAAGGGGTGGAGGAGTGGCAGCTATTGTCTGGAAGAGTCTCTGTCCTCGCAGAATCCCTGCCCCGGAGGTTGTTGGGTGTGAGTCTCTCCTCTTGAGGTTGACTCAAGGGTTCAGTTGGGCCTGTTATTGATGTACCTGCCTCCCATCTGCGTTACAACAGCCCTTCCTGTGCTGCTAGAGGCAATAGCCGGGTTGGTGGTGGAGTTCCCCAGGCTTATGGTACTGGGGGACTTCAACCTGCCATCACTTGGCGAATCCTCAGATGTGGCTCAGGAGTTCATGGCTTCCATGACAACCATGGACCTGACCCAAGTAGTTCAGGGTCCGACCCATAGGGGAGGACACACGCTTGACCTGGTGTTTCTCTCAGGGCAGTGGAGACAGGATCTGGAATTAAGGGGTATAGATGCTTCTCCCTTGTTGTGGTCAGATCATTTCCTGTTGAGGTTGGACTTTAAGACACCACTCCTCCATCGCAGGGAGGCGGAGCCGATTAAATGGTTCCACCCCAGACACCTAATGGACCCAGAAGGGTTTCAGAAGGAGCTTGGGGAGATACCTGACTCCCTTGTCCACAGTCCGGCTGAAACCCTAGTCACTGCCTGGCATAAGGCAGCGTCTGGGGCATTGGACCAGATTGCGCCTTTGCGGCCACTCAATGGCAGCAGATCCAGGAAAGCTCCCTGGTTTACTGAGGAGCTCCGGGAGATGAAGTGCCAGAAGAGATGTCTAGAGCGACACTGGAGGACCAGTAAATCTGAATCTGACCAAACACTCTTGAGATCCTTTATTAGGACTTATTTAGTGGTGATATGGGCAGCAAAATGCTCGCATTTTTCCGCACTTATTGCATCCGCAGATTCTCGCCCAGCCACCCTATTTAGGGTGACTTGCTCCCTCCTTAATATAGGGGGAGTGGAGGAGTCCTTGCAGGGTAGAGCTGAGGAGTTTGTGCAGTTTCTGTCAGATAAAGTCGCTCAGATTCGGATGGACCTGGACTCTAATTGGGCAATACCGACAGAGATGACGGGGGTGGGTCTTAGTCCTATTGTGTGGGACAAGTTTGAGCCAGTGACTCCTGATGAAGTGGATAAGGCTGTAGATGCGATGAGTTTGTTGGACCCGTGCCCCTCCTGGCTGGTTTCGGCCAGCAGGGAGGTGACAGGAGGCTGGCTCCAGGCTTTAGTTAACACGTCCTTGAGGGAGGGGTCATTCCTGCAACCATTAAAGGACGTGGTTGTAAGGCCCCTCCTCAAGAAGCCTTCCCTGGATCCAGTAGAATTAAATAATTTTTGGCCAGTCTCCAACCTACCCTTCATGGGAAAGGTTGTAGAGAAAGTGGTGGCACTTCAGTTCCTGCGGTCATTGAGTGAAACAGATTATCTAAACCCTTTTCAGTCTGGCTTCAGGCCTGGCTACAGCACGGAAACTGCCTTGGTCACACTGATGGATGATCAACCCGAGATGGGGGTCATTCCTCTATCTTGGTGCTACTTGACCTCTCAGCAGCTTTCGATACCATTGACTATGGTATCCTTCTGGGACGACTAAGGGAGTTGGGAGTGAGAGGCACCGTGTTATGGTGGTTCTCCTCCTATCTCTCTGGCTGGTCACAGTCGGTGTTGGTAGGAGGACAGAGGTTGACCCCTAGGCCCCTCATTTGTGGGGTGCCTCAGGGCTCGGTCCTCTCTCCCCTCCTATTTAACATCTACATGAAACCACTGGGTGAAATCATTCGACGATACGGGGTCGTCGAATGATTCAGTAATATGCTGATGATACCCAGCTGTATATCTCCACTCCACGTCAGTTCAGTGATGCAGTGGATGTGATGTGCTGGTGCCTGGAGGCTGTGAGGGTCTGGATGGGAGTCAACAGGCTCAGACTTAACCCAGACAAGACCAAATGACTGTGGGTATTGCCTCTTAAAGACTATGTCGATTGTCCATCTCTGGTCCTGGGGGGGGGGAGAAATTGTCCCCCTTAGAATGGGCTTGCAATCTGGGTGTCCTTCTAGACTTACAGCTAAGATTAGAGCAACATCTGACAGCTGTGGCTAGGGGGACTTTTGCACAGGTTCGCCTGGTGCACCAACTGTGACTCTACTTAAATCAGGAGGCTCTCCTCACATTCACTCATGCCCTTGTCACCTCACGGTTGGATTATTGCAACATGTTCTATATGGGGCTACCCTTGAAAAGTGTTCAGAGACTACAGTTGGTTCAGAATGCAGTCGCGTGAGCTATTGTGGGTGCACCTAGATACAACCACATTACACCAATTCTCCGCGAGCTGCACTGGCTCCCTATTGATCTCCAGACACAATTCAAGGTGTTGGTTATTACCTTTAAAGCCCTACATGGCTTAGGGCCAGGCTATCTTCGAGACCGTCTTCTACTGCATAGCTCCCAACGACCAGTAAGATCCCACAGAGTTGGTCTCCTCTGGGTCCTGTCAGCTAAACTATGTTGGCTGGCAGGCCCGTGGGGGAGGGCCTTCTCTGTGGCTGCCCCGGCTCTCTGGAACCAATTACCTCCTGAGGTCTGGACCACCCCCATCTTATTGGCCTTCCGGAAAGCGTCGAAGACCTGGCTTTTCCAGAAGGCCTGGGGCCGTTGATCTAGCTGCTGCAATCTTGCGAGATCCGGCCATGAATGGCGTGTATGGGTTTTTAATGTTTTTTTTTTTTAAAAAAAAACAACAACAACAACTTTTATGGCATATTGTTTGCATTATTTTTTGTTGTAAGCCGCCCAGAGTCCCCAGGGAGTTGGGCGGCATAGAAATGCGACAAATAAATAAATAAATAAATAAATAAATAAATAAATAACTCCATCAACATCCTTCCTGCACTATGTGAAATTGTGCATAACATGAATGTTAAATATGCTGTGAATTTTTTATGATTTGCTAGCAGCGTACCAAGAAACACAACATAATTATTAAAAACCCTGGGAAGTAGTAGGAAGTAAATAGTAACTATCTCCTCAATATCTGTTTGCAGCTCCTGACATTAATCCCAGAACAGAATTTGTACTTCAAGACTCTATGAGATAATCTGTGTTTTAGCTATAAATGATAGCTTGCACTCACCACTATTGCTGCGTTGCCTATTTAGGCCAAACATATTTCCTAGGCTGCCTTTTTCTTTGGGAACTTCTGCCAAATCTGATGTCTGCAATAGACAAAAAGGCAAAACAATGAAAATTAGTGACAAGATGAAGAAAATTGAGATCAAACATGTGCGAACAAATTGATGATGGTAGTGAGAATATGGGAATTAGAATGAAGCTTCAGTGCTGCTTCTACTATATCCATGATGGCGAACCTATGGCATGTGTGACAGAAGTGGCATGCAGAGTCATCTCTCTGGCATGCCAGCCATTGCCATTGCTTTTCCAGGTTCTGGCACGACATGCACGGTGGCCAGCTGGTATTCGTGTGCGCGGGAGCACTGGAAACCGGAAGAGCAGCTTTCTGACATGCATGCATGCATGCACTGGGATGCTGAGTTTCCAGCACATGCATGGGGCCGGCCAGCTGGTCTTCACGCATGCTTGCGTGCCAGAAACTGGAAGACCAGATGACCAGCATGCATGTGCATGCGCACGCTGGAAACTGGAAGCTCAGCTTCCCGGTGTGCACCGGGGAACTATTCTTCCAGTTTCCAGTGCTCCCGTACATGTGCACCAGGGAGCTGCTCTTCCAGTTTCCGGTGCTCCCATGCATGTGCTCCCGTTTCGGCACTCGGTGCTGAAAGGGTTCACCAACACTGTACTATATTATCCAGAGGCAGTTTAAATCCTTGATGGAAGCAATATATATAGGATAATTTGGTGTCCTAGATGTTAAATGGAGTGCAAACATGTTTTCTTATTTAGACTGGAGAAGAAAAAGACTACTAGGTTTTTTTTAGAGCTTCCATGTGAAGTAGGTTAGATCAGCCCTTCCCAAAAATATACTCAATATACTAAGGGTCAACTCATATAATTCCCTAATAAGCATCATTATTTAATATAAGAGGAAGATGTTGTATTTCCTTGTATGCAATGCTTATTTCTCTACAATTACATAGGTTGAAGCTGAAAAGATGCATTGTTAGAATTCAATATCCTTTTGGTTGCTATATTGAATCTTTATCTAGAATGCATATCTATATAAATAAAAATGTAAATGTTTGTTTGTTCAAAATCGTAAATCTCCGAAAGTTCTTCACCGATTGCTTTGAAATTTTGACACAACATTGCATTCGAATACGCGCGTGTTTTTATATACCTATATTATATAGATGTCACACCTGTGACAGGTAAAAACATGCTTTCTTGAAAAACAGCGCTATCTGCTGGACGTAAAAGCAACACACGCTATACTAAATGTACCACAATGGCAGGCGCGAGTTGGGTCTTTTCCCCTCAGTGCCGCCGCCGCCAAACCCACAAGCAAAATGGCAGGAAATGTCAACTGCCATGAAGCGTCCTCCAGACTAACAGAGTATGCCATACCTTTGGCAGGGACCCCGATGCTGCCTGTGGTGCGGAGAGCTGTGAAGGTGAAGGCGGTTATACCGGCAAGCCAGGAAACCAGCTCTTACACCTGTGGCAAAGTATCCTCGGAAGCGTCCGAAGACAAACCTCCAGAGCCCCAGGAACGCAAACTCACTGACAGCAGCCCGGGTGGAGGCCTCTACCAATCCCATGACGCGCAGCTCTCCCAATACAAGCACCAAATAGGTAAAAGTCCAAGAAAGCAATTGATTAAGCGATGTTAAAGTCCAAAAAAGAAACGTAGAGAAAGGCAACTCAGGTCTGAATCCAATCGACCAAGTGAAAAGACTGGTGGAACGGAGGCAAAGTAGGCATGACCTGAGCTACAGAGGGACATTATTGGCACTCGGTCAAAAAATATTGTATACCCACAAGACTGGGCCAGAGCAACGCGTGGCTGGGTACAGCTAGTGAGTTAATATATATATAAAAAAGAAAAACATTGCCATAGGTGTATACTACAAGCCACCCAATCAAGCCGAAGAACTAGATGAACCTTTCCTAATCTGTTAACAAATATATGTAGGAAATACACCACAGTAATAATGGGGGACTTTTAACTACCCTGACATCAATTGGGAGACAAACTCTGCATCAAGTGGGAGTGCAATCTAGCTGACAACTTTGTTATCCAAAAGTCAGAAGAGGAAACTAGTAGGACAGCTATACTGGACTTAATTCTTACTAATAGAGAAGAAATATTAGAGGGGTTTGAAATATTGCAGGAACTTTAGGGCAGAGTGACCATGTCATATTAGAATTCAGAATAATGCAGAAAGTAATAGAATATAATCAAACCAGTATCTTAGACTTTAAAAGACCTGATTTCAACAAACTTAGAGAGAGCTTATGAAGGATTTCATGGATGAAAATCTTAAAGGAGAAAATAATTCAAGAATTTGAAAGACAAAAAGGACAAGTGCAAAAAATGGAAAGAGGGACCCATAACTAAGGCAGAATATCAGCAGATAGCCAGAATCTGCAAAGATGAAGTCAGGAAGGCAAAGACTCAGAATGAACAAAGACTTGCAACAAAAATCAAAGATAATAAAAAAAGTTTCTTCCAATATATAAATAACAAGTAAAAAAAATCAAAGAAACAGTTGGTCCACTAAAGGTAGAAGAAGGCAAGGAAGTAACAGGTAGCAGAGAGAAAACAGAGCTGGTTAACTCATTCCTTGCATTGGTCTTCACACAAAAAGAAACTATAGTCTAACTCAATGATGGTGAACCTTTTTCTCGTTGCGTGCCAGCAGTGTGTGTGTGTGTGTGCGCATGACAGCGTGCGTGCATGCCAGCACCCATAATGCAATGCAAACCCCCCTTGCACATGTGCACACAACCCTCCACGCTCCCCGCGCATCACCCCACATTGCCCACGCTCCCCCACACATGTGCCCTGCATTGTGCATGTGCACTCCCCCACATGCGCTTCCCCCTGGTGGCCTATTTTGGGCCTGGAAAGTCTGGGCTTTCAGGGGAAGGGATTGAAGCCCTGGCCTGCTGCTTCTGGCACCGCCAGGAAAAGGGAGTGCAAGAACCGCCGCCGCCAGGTGCGAGGGGGCGGTGGGAAGGATATGCAGTCTGGGGCTTCTGACGTAGCCCCAGGCCTCCAGAGGGGGAGGGAAGTCAGCCATGTTGGACGCTGCCCAGAGCACAAAGCAGGGAAGCAGCAGCACAAGAACCACTGTTGGCGGGGCCAGGGGGTGGTGGCGGCAGGAGCAGCAGGGGGCTTCCCTCCCTCCCCCTGGAGGTCTGGGGCTACGCCAGAAGTCTGCTCAGATGGGGAGACAGGAAAGCCCCGGTCCACCCATCCTTGCTGCCAGCGCCCCCTCACCTACAATCAATCTGCTCCTTTTGGAAATTTGCTTTTCTTCCAATGCCAAGACTTGGATCCACAGGACTGCAGACTGCCTCTGAGCTACCCTTCAGGGCTGAATACGGAAAATGTCACCCCAAGGAAAAGCTGAGTGACAGGAAGAAGCTGCTGCCAGCTCTGGACCTGGCAGCCCGCAGGCTCATCCCAAGCTTTACAAGCCGCTGTGGTAACCGCGCAGCCTCGCCAGCTCACCAGAAAGCCCACTGCGTACAGGCACAGCAAGAATAGGCTGGGCCAAACAGCCCTGCCTCGGAATAATGATGACAATGCCAATGCCACCCCCCTTTCCACCACCTCCAGAAAAGGGCTAAGCAGGTTGCTCCCGCCCCCCCTTCTCCATGCATTGCGATGCGAAGGGGAAAAAAAAACCACAGGAAGTCCTACTCCTGGTGCTGCCAGGGAAGAGGCACCACAAGAACCGCTATTGCTGGGGGTGAGGGGGTGCCAGTGCCAGAAGCAGTGGGCCGGGGCTTCATTCCCTTCCCCTGGACAGCCCACTCAGGCAGGGAGACAGGGAAACCCCAGACCGTACATCCTTCCCACCACCCCCTCGCACTTGGCAGTGGCGGTTCTTGCACTCCCCTTGCTGGGTGGTGGCAGAAGCAGTTGGTGGGGGAGAGAGGGTGGTGGCAGGCTGCAGCAGTAGGCTGGTCACACTGGCTAAGAGGCAGCAACGGCTCCTCCTCCTGCCACCCTCACGCTCCAGGCAGTATCCAGGCAGCTATACCTGGCTTCCCTCTGCGGCAGCCCACGTGGATTCCTGGCAGGGCAGCTTCGGGGCCTTTCCTCACAGTGCTGGTGGCAGTGATGAGACAAGCAGGCAGCTGGGAGTAGGGGAGCGACTGGTGGCAGTGCTCCTGGCTGGCAAGGGGTAGATATCCCGGGGCTGTATCCGGGCAACAATGGCATGGCCGATGCACACCTGCGCTAAAGGCCAGCTGATTGTCACGCACACATGTGCACCAGTAACCAGCTGGCTGGTGCACATGCATGGCCTGGAAATACGGAAGAGGAATGGGCGATGCCACTCGTGCCGGGTGACATGGCTCTGCGTGCCACTTCTGGCATGTGTGGCATAGGTTCACCAACATGGGTCTAACCTATCAAAAACAGACTAGAAATAAAAGTTATAATAAGCAAAAAAATAAATAGTAAGAGAACACCTGTTTGATCTTGATAAATACAAATCACCAGGATCTGATCGATTACGTCCCAGAGTTCTAAAGGAGCTGGCAGATGTCATCTCAGAATCACTGCACCATATCTTTCAAAAATCCTGGAGCACCGGGGAATTACCAGAGGACTGGAAAAGAGCTGTTGTGGTTCCCATCTTCAAAAAAGGAAAAAAAGAGACCCAGGAAACTACAGACCAATCAGCCTAACATCAATACCCGGGATGATACTGGAACAGATAATTTAAAAACAAATCTGCCAACAGATTTGATAGAAGCTCAGGCTCTTTGAAAGAGCCTGATAGTACAGTGGACTAAAGCACTGTTATTAACATCTGCTGCTTGCAATTACTGCAAGTTCAAATCTCACCAGGCTCAAGGTTGACTCAGCCTTCCATCCTTTCAAAGATAGGTAAAATGAGGACCCAGATTGTGGGGGCAATAAGTTGACTTTGTATAAATATACAAAAGTATGAAGACTATTGCCTAACGCATTGTAAGCTGCCCTGAGTCTCCGGAGAAGGGTGGCATATAAATTAAAGCAAAAAAAAAAAAAAAAACATTTACTGTGTTTCCCTGA